TAAAAAAAATCACAAAAAAGGCTGGAAGAAATAATTTTTTTAAAAAAATTAAAATTAGTGACTTTTTTTGGAAAAAAACAATCACAAAAAGCCGTTGCTAATTTCCATGATTTGAGATGGTTTTTTTTTTTTACAAAAACCATTGCAAAAAATGGTTACATAAATTTTTTTTTAAAAAATGAAATTAGCAACGGATTTTTTTGGAAAAAACTATCGTAAAAAATCGTTGCTAATTTTCATGATTAGCAACGGTTTTTTTTTACAAAAACCGTCGTAAAAAATGGTTGCAGAAATTTTTTTAAAAAAATTGAAATTAGCAACGATTTTTTTTATAAAAAACCGTCGCTAACTTCTCTCGCTAAAGTGCTTTAGACCGTTGCAATTTTAGTAAATTGACGATGGTTTTGAGACCATCACTAATTTTCTCTCGCAAATCCTTTATTTTTTTGTAGTGTTAAAATATTTAAGGATAAGGAGACGCCACCTAATACTTTAAGAACCTAAATTATTGGTCTAGTACTTTAAGAACCTAAATTATTGATCTTTAAGAAATTACGGATAAAGAGTTAATTATGTTTATTGAAAAGAAAACAATTACTCAAAAACATTTTTTCTTAAGATAGGTTACGTGAATTGTTCTAGGAACCTAAATTATTGGTCTTTTAGAAATTATAGATAAAGAATTAATTATGTTTATTGAAAAGAAAAACATCACTCAAAAACATTTTTTCTTAAGAAAGGTTACGTGACATGTTCTATTTTTAAATCATTTCTTAAAGTATTATTTTGTCAAAATGGTTATGATCCTATTTCCGAGTTTATTGCTATTTCATGTAATTTTGTCAATTTAATCTAAGAAGTCATTTTATGGTAAAATTGTTATAATTTATTATGAAATTTTATTAAATTATTGTTGGATCTCAAGATAGAAAGGTTCCTTAATTTAGCATTTGATCTTATTATAGTCCTGTCACAATTGTAATGTTAGGAACGAATTAACTATTTAAACATAATAAATGGATTAAGTTTTATTGTAAAATTTTGTTAAATATGACATTGGATCCTAAAATTAGAAATCGTATCAATTTAACATTGGACCCAAAACCGTATTTGTGACATGATTTACATGAATGTATTAAAGATAATGTGAGAAGATCTATCTTTAGACTTCAACGGCATGATAAGTACCTTTCGTGGATAATGTGTCTAAGATAGGAGTCGAAGCTTTTAATTATTTTCAAGCATTGGTCATAACTGGACACACAGTAGTTCATGATTCTTTGTTTTCAAGGGTTAATAAGTACATCATATATGACATTAATGCTTAATTGACGAGGGTCCATATAGAGTCAAAGATTTTGGTTGCAATTGAGGGTCCGAAGTCTTCAGTGCTCCGGGTTTGGATGAATTCATAGGACACTTCTATAAAGGTTGTTGGGATGTGATTCGTCTTGATGTTATTGTGGTCGTTCAAGTTTTTTTCAAAGAAGGACGACTTCCTAGAGGTATGTCTTTTACTATTTTAGTCTTAATTCCAAAGGTGGACGACCCAAATGGTCTTAATGATCTAAGACCCATTAGCTTATCAAACTATAGTTGTAAAATAATTTTTAAAATTTCGGCTAATAGATTGAGCGTAGTTTTTCCAACTTTAATTGATCAAGAACAAGTCGAGTTTGTAAAAAGGTATAGTATAAATGGGCTTTAGCTTAAGAATTAGTTGCGGGTTTAAATAGAAAAGTCTATGGGGATAAGCTAATTTTCAAGTTAGATATATCGAAGGCTTATAATAAGGTCGAGTGGCATATAATAAGGTCGAGTGGCTTTTTTTGCTTAGGGTAACGCAAAAAATAGGGTTTAATAATTCATGATGTGATTTGGTGTATAGGTGTATCAATAATATAGGGTATATCATTCGTATACATGGTAAAACTTTTGGGTTTTTTAAATCCAAGTAGAGGAGTTCTACTAAAATGAAGAGGAAAATTTTAGAAAGACTTTATCTATTTCTCATCTTTTTTATATAGATGATATACTCCTTTTTATAAATGGATCAAAGCAATCCTTGAAGTAGCCGAGGTCTTGCTCACTCGTTATGAAGAACATTCGGGACAACTCCTCGATGTGGTTAAAGATGGGTTTTACACTCCTAAACATATGACAACGATAAAGAATAGCAACAATTAAACGAATGGATGGGATGTGGACACTTTTAGTTTCCAATGCAATATTTAAAAGTGCCACTATTTATTAACCGAATGCACCAAATGTATTTCCTCCTTTTAGAGATGAAAATTAACCGAAGGCTAGCTGGATGGAAGAAGAAATTATTATCCTTTGGGGCATTCTTGACATCACTACGAGCAATTATTAGTAGTATTCATATACATGTGTTAGCGAGTAATTCTTATACCTAAAGGTATTATTTAGAGAATGGAGAGCTAGATGTCTAATTTTTTTTTTAGTTCTTCAAGAAAAATCGACATCACCTGGATAGTTTGGAGTCAAATTTATAAGCCCATAAAGGAAGGAGATTTGGGAGTTAGGAGTTTAGAATAGGTAATGATGGCTTTCTAGGAAAAACTAGCTCGGTCTTACATTCGGGGCTCAAGTCTTTGGGCTTGCTTTTTTGCATGTGAAATATGGGGATAAAGGTAACACTTTAGTGGCAACCTCGCACATTTGAAAAGCAAGTGTACCTCATTTGCCAACTTTGCTTTTTATTAGCCAATGGATAATAGGGAAAGGCTTAATTCCTTTTTAGAGTTTTAATTGGTGTGGTACTCTGTTAGACCCCCTCTCCCCTTGGATGAGAGGTTGATGATTAGGAAGGCTTTTTAGGAGATATCTAATTTCCTTCGGTTTATACCAGTTTGACATCACAATAAGGCAATGCATCTTTACTTTGATGATACGGTTAATGATAGATTGATATGTACTCGACTAAAACAAACGAATTTGAAACTAAAACTTATCAAAATCGTTGTCGAACTCCTTCTCCTATGTGGCCGTAGGCTACAAGGACTTGGAATCTTTATATTTCAATGAGGGTTGGTGTCTTCATTTGAAAATGGTTTAGAGGTGCTCTTCCAGTTGACTTTAGAATAAAGAAACTCTATATTCCTTTAGTCTCAATTTGTCAATATTGCCAAGATCATAGGGAAGAGACAATGGAGCATTTGTTTCTAGAATCACAGATTGCCACAGAGGTATGGGCGTATTTCGACAATATATTTAATTGTCAAAATTTCTTGAGCTCTTTGGAGCCCGAGGTGTTGGTTTACGTCGATCACTACCCAATTAGGTATTTGTTTTGTTCTATGGAAAATGTGAAAAAAGTAGATGTAGGGCCAAATATGAGGATGAGCCAATGAGTGTTGATGACATTATTAGAAGAGTTAGAATGGATCTTCATGATATGTGTAGCTTAAATGTTCGAAGAAGGCTATGAATATTATTGGTATAAGGAAATTATAGGAGCTTGGTATCACACCAGTTCAAATGAAGTTTTTAATGGGAAAATAGCTAAAATGGGAACCTCCGAATCTAGGTAAATTGAAATTGAATGTTAATGGGTCGACTAGGGAGGGTGTTTTAGGATATATTAGGTGCTTTTGTTGTAGGCTTTGCTAATAATTATAGGGAGAGTTCAAATTCTAAGATCGAAGTACTAGTCTTTCGGGATGGTTTAATACTTTGTAAGACCTTGGACTTGTATTTAGCTCTTATTTAATCCGATTCATTGATGGTTATCAATACAATCCTAGGCATCAATAAGGTCCCTTGATTATACACTTACTCATTCGGAGAGTGTCGGGAGTTATTGGGGGTAATCACATTATTAAACATATCTAGAAGGAGCGAGAATGTGTGATGGCAGATAGACTATTTAATTATGCTCTACAACATAAGATGATGAGTAGTTTTAGGTTTTTTTCTCGACTTGCCTTTGGATGTAAAAATTGCTAGTAAATAGGATAGGATGGGTTTGTTTAATTTTAGGAAGTAATCATGTCTTTAGGGGTAAGACTTCCTTATCCTCCCAGTTTATTACATAAGGTCTGGTTTGTCCCCACATGTATTTTTCCATGCCTTTTTATTAATAAATTATTAGGATATCATCCTTGTTTTTTAAAAAAAAAACCACTAATAAGTTGTTGGTCTAATAGTAAGCAAGTCGGTCCTCAAACGAATTTTCTATCAATGTAAAGGATTCAAATTTTAAAGTCACGTTTATGAGAAATTAAATATTGTCGCTCTCACTTCAAACATGATTAGTCCCCTTCATCTAAAAAAAAAAAAAAGTAATTCACCATAAGAATAATCATATTTTTCTTATGCCAATACCTGAACTTGATCAGACATGCAAGTGCTTCTGCTAATTTGCAAAATTGAAACAGTTAATTAAAGAAATGTTGTTAAAAAAAAAAAAAATCTTCTCTACGTTTTGCTAATTATTACATCATTTAGTTGACCCATGATAACAAGTGCATTTACACTGGTTAACAGTTCCATTTTCAAATTCATTTAAAGTTGGATCAATGATAGTTGATCATGCTACTTGGATGAAAAATCAAAATTTTAGAGGAAGTTGCTTTCCTAAGGAAATTGGTGGACAGTGTGAAGGAAGTTGCTTTCCTAAGGAAATCCACCCTAAGGAAATTGGTGGACAGCGTGAAGGAAGTTGCTTTCCTAAGGAAATTGGTGGACAGTGTGAAAATTGCATCATAGGACATTGTATCTAGAAATATATTGATAGCTAAGGCTAATGAGTGCTTCCTTCCAACTTTTGCCTTTGCTTTTTCATCGCAATTATTGTACTCAATAATCAGTGGCTCCTAAAAAGTTTCTCTCCGAAAATCACACCGTCACTTCTCTGTTGTGACCATAACCAAGCTTTGTGCTTATAATGAGTTTCTATGATCATTTCTCTTCTAGATCTTCAAATCTCTCTCTGATCCCTCTCACTCTGTGTAATTAATTAAGTGGAGCTGGCTATCATGGAGGTCCAAAAGCAAAAGTGCCAAAAACCCAACACAGACCAAGTGGTTCTTTTCATGGACCAACAAGACTCCAAACTCGGACAGTCACCACCACCGCAGCAAGCAGACTCCCTCTCTAGAACCCCAGCAAGAACAAACACCCTTCGCCGTCTCAACTTCTCCAAACCCAAATCTCGTTTCACTGAAACTAACTACCCTCCCCCTTCCAAAACCATCCCTGAATCCAAAGAATACCAACCCTTAAACCCTCCTGAAAGCGCTACCTCCACAGATGAAGACGATGATGATGAATGGTATGAAAATGAAGAAGAAGAAGTTGATGGTGCCAAAAAACTGTCCAACTATCGAAAGAGAAGGAAAAGAAAGATAAAAAAGAGAGCCTTGATCGAGTTCATATTGTTTCTCATAATCATGACTTGCTTAATTCTCTCTTTAACCGTTGAATCCCTCAAGATCAAGTTCCAATGGGGTTTAGTTTTATGGAAATGGTGCCTTATGGTCTTGGTCCTCTTCTGTGGCCGCCTTGTGTCGGTTTGGGTTGTAGGTTTTATTGTTTTTCTCATGGAACGCAATTTCATGCTTAGAGAAAAAGTACTGTACTTTGTTTTTGGTTTGCGCAAGAGTTTTCAACATTGTGCATGGCTAGCGTTGGTCCTACTTGCATGGATGATTATGTTCCATGATGTCCATAAACATAACAAGGTCTTAAAGAAGGTTTTCCGTGCTCTGATTGCTGTCCTTGTCGGAGCTACTATATGGTTACTAAAAATTTTACTTGTCAAGGTTCTTACTTCTTCTTTCCATGTTGCTACTTTCTTTGATCGCATGAAAGAAAGTGTTTTCCACCACTACATTCTCGATACACTCTCTGGTCCGCCATTAGATGAGGATGAGAGAGAAACTCCTCAGCGGCCGACGCCAAGCCATTCGAAGACATTGGCAGCGAAGCTGAGGGAGAGGGCCACGCCGTTATCGAGATCTAAGAGGTACGAGTCGAGGAGCATCGATATGGAGAGGTTGAGGAAGTTAAGTATGATGAGTAGGGCGACTGCTTGGAGTGTGAAGAGGTTGGTGAGTTACATTAAGTCTTCGGGGTTGTCAACGATTTCGTGGACGGTGGATGATTTTGGTAATGCAGAGTCGGAGATCAATAGTGAATGGGAGGCTAGAAGCAGTGCTCAAAGGATTTTCAAGAAGGTCGCCAAATCTGGTGCCAAGTAAGTTTCTTTTGATCACTTTGTTTCTTAAAGATCTCGTGCTTTAGACTACTCACTAGAGATAATTATTTCTATAATTCTCACTTCACACAAATCTACCAAAGTTATTAAATAGAAATTCTATGTCCGGACTGCTGGGTCATGGAACAATGGCATTATGCCAACCTTGCTTGGTTATTTTAATTTTCTGACAATATATTCATGTTCAATATCTCCCTATTAATCATATTTTGTTAAGGGTTTTGCTAGCTTCCCTTAATTCTAAACTGTAATGGAGGTTTTCAATTTCTTATTATTTCTTCTTCTTCTTCTTCTTTTTTTAAATGACTTCTTACTTTTCTAGTGAATTAGTCCGTCTGCCGTTTTCTTTTCACGTCCTTGCCGACTTCTTGGCAGTGGCATCATTGATGGAGTGGGGTAGCCATTCGTGTTTTTCAAATGTCTATACCACGTACTACTTTTCTTTGAGAGATTTATAAAATCCGTTTTCGAAACTTTTCCTTTTCCCTTTGGAAGCATGTTTTGAAAACCGAATTGAGTGTAGGCAATAGATAAATACAAAATAATAGAGTATGCAATCATGAAGTGTAGTTGGTCGGAATTATACATGAGGCTGGTCAACTGGTGGGCACAGCTAGCTGCTGCTGCAAAAACATGCTGGTATTTTGGGAAGGGACGTACGATATATATTCAATGCCTTCATAATGTCCTCTCTTTATAGCATATTTTTCTATAAAAAAAATTAAGATAATTACAATATAATTATATTAATTTTTAATCTTTTTTCAATCAACTATATAAATTTTTTTTTTCATTTGAATACATTAATTTTTTTAAAACTATCAAGTAAGTAATTTTGTCAATTTTTCTGTTAATTGATAACATATCTATTATCCTCAAAATAATAAATTAGAATTTTATTTTTTCTCAATGAAGTATATGAATTTTAATTTCTTCAAATTGAGTATATAATTTTTTTAAAACTATTAATTAAATACTTTCGTCAATTTCTCATTAATCGATGATGTGTCCGAATATCAAATTACATTTTTTTTCATTTGTTATTGTAATTAAATTTCTCTTTAAATTATTCTATCATTTTAAAATTTGACAAAGAATTAAAAAAATTATTCTATCAAATTATTCTCTAAAATTTCATTTGTGTTTTTTTTTTTTAATTTTCACTCTTAAATCTAACTGCTTTTTTTTTTTTTAAGAGCAAGCTAATTGATCAATTTAGTTTGAAATTTTAGAGATATAAATAATTTTTTTTAATTATTTGGCAAATTATAAACTAGTAAAATAATTTGAGAAGAAAGTTTTTTCAATAAAAAAGAGTAAAATTACAATTTTATATTCGAATACATCATCAATTAACGAAAAAAATGATGAAAATATTTGATTGACAATTTTGAAAAAATTGATATACTCAAATAAAAAAATAAAATTCATGTACTCGATTAAGAAAAAAGTAAAATTATAATTTAGTATTTTATGGGTATCGGACACATCATCGGTTAATCGAAAAATTGACAAAAGTACTTGATTGTTAATTTTGAAAAAGTTGATGTATTCAAATGAAAAAAAAATTAAAGTTTATATATTTGATTGAGAAAAAAAAATTAAAATTTGGTATACTTGTAGGATAATTATCCCTAAAAATTTCCTAAATGATATGACACATTTGAAGTAGTATTTCCCATGACTATCAATTTCTAACTATGTAAGAGTAAATATTCTTTAAAGTTGTTTTTTTCTTTTTGAATATAGGACAATACTACTTTTATTTTTAATTTTTTTATAAGATACATTGAATTCATCTTCTTTATTAATTAAATTAATTGGGATTTTTATGCCATTTAATTATAGCAATCCTTGTTCGTAGTTACTTATTGCCAAATAATTCTCATTTCAATAATATTTTTCTGTTTTAACATTTGAAGGTCAACAATAATAAACACTCTCAACAAGTGATATACTTTTGGGTCTGGCTATATCTTTGCTTCTTTTTTTCTTTTTTTTTTTTATTAGTGTGTTCGTAAACTGAAATTAAATTTTTAAAACGTATTTTTTATATAGATTTGGTGTATTGAAAAATAATAATAATAAATTATTTCAGGTGCTAGTCAAAAGTTTGAATTCAAAAAGTTAAAAAGGTAACAAATTTTTTTGAAATTATTGTATTTATATCTGAGCATGGTTTTGAGATCCCAAGTTTTTTAACATATTGTCCTGAGTTATGAAATAAATAAATAAATAAAGCACCCGGTGGCTTGTAGTGTAAAAGACAGGTGATTCATATAGTAGGGTAATTATTTGAGGGAAAAAAGAAAATTCGATCTAATGAATAAGAAATCGTCAATTAAGTTAAAAACAACATAAAAGCAAACCGCACTCAGCGAATTGATACAGCCTAAACCATCCATGAAGGATTGCCATTTGCCTGACTATATTACAAAACTTTTATTAAAATAAAAAATAAAAACAAAACTTTTATTACCTAAGAAAGGATGATTCGAGTATATATGTAGATGAAATTGATTGATTGATTTATTTATTTACTTATTTATTATTATTATGAGAATAATGAACTGGTAACTTGCTTAAGTAGGTTGTGGTATTAATATTAAATAACTATCTTATGCCATTGTATTTATTATTGTATTTATGTACCATGAATATACTGAGGCATAACTTAAGGACTGTATACTCATAGCTTTCTTTTAATGAAACAAATTTGAGTTTTAATATTTTTAATTTGTTTAATTATTATATAATGAAAAAAATTATTTTTATTATATAATTCAAAACCCGTAGAACTTTTAATAAATAAAAAATAATAATAATTTATATGCCATGTATGAAGGAAAAATGATTTTCATGCGTAATGGTCATAGGATCTTGATTTCATTCTTCTTCAGATCAAAACTTACAATGATTTTCTATACAAGAATTATTTTGGAGTTGAAATTTTAATTAAACACTGTTTGAAATTAAATATTCATAAAGATGATTCATATAGTTTTTCCTTTATTGTTGTTGGTGCTGGGGCTTTTGTCCAGTCTCCACAATTAATAATTAATAATGATGATCATGTGGATAGTGATATGAATCGATGGAGATAACATATGAGGGTGATCATCCTAAAACGTATATATGAAGATGATAGTATTAATTGATGAATAGACTCGATAGATATTTCATGAGGTTCAAACTTAAGTCATACCGTGAAATATGAAATTCTTAAATTTTTTCTAGTTTTGGTGCGGATAATTTGCACATATATATGATTTAAGAAAAGTGATAAGAAAAGTGTTTTCATTTTATTAAGTTAAGAGTTTTATTTTTATTTTTAGTTTTAGAAAGCTTCTTTTTGTGTAACCCTAGACATGAGTAACAAGTGTGTTTAAAAAATCCGACTTTTTAAAAAAAAAATAACTGAAAACTAGACGTGATTTGATGTTGATCTATTTTAAAGAAAAGATAAATTTAATCTTAACTGACATAAAACTAATCCAAAAATACTCTGTAACTAAAAAAACCTTGAACTGAAAAGGTTGCATTGTGGTAAATGTTGTATAACACCGGTATAGCCAGCACTCTTTTAACTTTTGTGATCTCCTATTTATGTTTTCAAGCATAAATTCAATGGCTTCAGTTCTTAGCAAAACCTCTGAAGTGGCTTTGGGACCCTGCTAATACTCGAATACAAGTTTAAATGCAATCGACACCAGGAGGGAGTTGAAGAAGTTATGTAGCATGCCCTTTTTTATGATTACTATATGCCTATTTTTGTTGACATGTTTTTCCCATTTTTTAATGTTTAAGGTATATAGAAGAGGAAGATCTACTAAGGTTTTTAAAGACGGAAGAGGTTCATACCATATTTCCTCTCTTTGAAGGAGCTATTGAGACTGGAAAAATCACAAAATCTTCTTTCAGAAATTGGGTGGTAAGCAGCCCAAAACCCACTTAGTTTATTATATTATTAGTAGTAGTATTACATTTGGTCTGGAAAGGCCTCTCCTTAGTATGTTTACAAGCAATAAAGAAGAAAACACCAGCTGGGCTTGAGTTGGTGATGATGTGATAAATTAATTAAGACCTAGCAATCTTAAAGGCCTAGACTTAATGGGATTTATTTTTTATTTTTTTCCAGTAATCAACATTTTATTAAAAGACGGATAATTTCCTCTTTTGCAATGTTTATCTTTTCAATTGCTAGGTCCATGCTTATGTTGAGAGAAAAGCGTTGGCTCATTCCTTGAATGACACTAGGACTGCTGTCCAGCAACTTCACAAGATAGCTAGTGCAATAGTGACAGTAATTATAGTTGTCATCTCACTTTTGGTAACTGGATTGGCGACGACAAAGGTTTTATTAGTTTTCACATCTCAACTGCTACTTGTGGGGTTCATGTTCCAAAACACATGCAAAACTATCTTCGAGTCCATCATTTTCGTCTTTGTTATGCATCCTTTTGATGTTGGTGATCGTTGTGTTATCGATGGAGTACAGGTAAAAGAAATTTACTATTAATTAAGCTCTAGCTAGCTAGTTGATCGCTACTGAACTTTAGTGAAAAAGATTAATACATATATTAATTATATATTTCTGATATTGCAGATGATTGTAGAAGAGATGAACATTTTGACAACTGTGTTTTTACGGTATGATTCCGAGAAAATATATTATCCGAATTCTGTTCTTGTTACAAAGCCTATCAGTAATTTCAGAAGAAGTCCAGACATGGGGGATGCTATTGACATCACCATTGATGTCTCCACTCCTGTTGATGACTTCAATGCTCTCAAGAGAGCTATTCGAATGTAAGTTATTAATCAATCTCATTTGCATTGAAGTGTTTGACAACATTAATTCCTGAAGTAAGCTTTGCCTCAATCACACTTATTTTTGTTAATAAAAATTGATATTTGCTTTTAAATGATTGGGAACTTCTACTAAGGAAAAAGAAAGAAAAATCAACTACGTACTTCTTTGGATAATAATTAATTACTACCAATTTTTTTCTATTTATCTAGCTAGTCATATTATTATGGAACATATTGATTGATAATATTCAGATAAAACGCAAAAGCTTTAGACATTGATCAATTGAGAATTAGTACTTGTATTAGTTTTCAAGAGTTGTTGTGCAATGATGAATTAATTAATTTGAGAAAAAAGTCATTACGGAATACTGCAGATACATCGAGAGCAAACCAAAGCACTGGAACCCAAAGCACACATTGTTGGTGAGGGAGATAGAGAATGTGAACAAGATGAAGCTTACTCTATGTGTTCTACACACCATGAACCATCAAAACTACGGGGAAAAGAGCACTCGAAGATCGGAGCTTGTTTTTGAACTAAAGAAGATTTTTGACAACCTTGGCATTAAATGCCACCTCCTTCCTCAACAAGTACATCTTACGAATGTAAACACGATCAGCAATGGGGGATGCCAACACAATCTTGATACAAATGCGTGTATGAGGAGGGCAAAAAGGAGCATTATCACCACACCTGAAGGATTGTTAATTCGACACGACCATACCGACCATTCTCTTGCATTTGTTTTCTTTTTCCTTCCATGACTTGCTTCTTTTTTGTAACTTAAATTATAGCCTGATGAATTAATTATGTAAAAGCAAAAAGTACAGGGAGTGCTTTTATAATACTTAAATTATAGCCTGAATTAATCTCGATACTAATGCGTCTTCTTCCTTTCTTCCCTTTTGGCATGCGATTGAAGCTCTCGAACAAAATTGCATGATGATGTAGCATTATTACAAATTAATGGTATGGTTGTTTTCAAACATATGACAGGCAGCAAAAAGAAGACGTTAGAGAAAAACTAGCTAGCTGTCACTCCATAAGGTCAATGTTTACATGATTAACAAAAAGAAACGCGTGCATGTTGATATACTCCTACCAAGAAAATAAATCCGACTAGGCATTTTTTGTGCGGTTCAATAATGCATTTCTTCGATTAGATTCAGATATTGCGACAAAATAAAATCTAATCTAATCTAATGATTTGGTCATTCAATAATTTTAAAACTCAAGTATCCTCCATCGAATTTTAATAAATTTCGAAACTATAATATATTAATTTAATTCTCTAAAAATTAATTAGTACTTTTAATTTCCCGAATGTGACCACTTATTTTACTTGAAAATGGATTCAAAATGAAATTTTTTTGTGATATATATATGCAATATGACATTTTAAGTAAATAGGCATTATTAGAAGAAAAAATAGATTAGGTTAGTAGGAAAAATAACAAAATAGACTAATCGTTTGTGGTGTGTATTCACTTTCCATAAGAGTAAATCATGTCTCTTAAAAGAGTATTTTTTTTATGCAACATGTTCAAGGAGGTTTGCCCTGATCAAATATACAACAAACGATCATATGCAAGCATATACTAGCAATAAATATGCAGATGTGATGCTAAATCCCACTGCTTAAAAGAGATTTGTATTTAAAAACAAAATATTATTTCTTAAGAAAAAACGTCATTATTTTGTTTCCTACTCCAACCAAATACTCAATAATGTTTATGCTTCGAAAATAGATAACAAATTAATTATTAAAGTACAATTAATTTTTTAAACTAAACTTACAATGGCTAGTAACGGTTGTAATAAGCATTAATAATAATTTAAATGATTTAATATCATTAATTTTATTAATATTATTTTTAATAACCAAAATAGAATTTTATTTAAAAAAATTTAAAAACAAAACACTATTTTCATCATTCTATTTCTCTATGTAAAATGCTAGCTCAATAATATTTATGCTTACAGAGGCAATAAATAAAAAATTAATTGTTAATTATAATTAATTTTTTAATAAACTCAATGGCTAGTAACTCTATGTAACTGCTAATAAGTATTGATAGTAATTAAAATTATTTAATGCCATAATGATTAATTTTATTAATATTACTGTAATTTTTTTCTATTTAATAGCCAAAGAAAAATATTAAAAATCAATTATCACTCTATATAATATGGTTAAAAAAGAGAGAGAGAGAGCGTAACACACATTAGGTGTTAGAAGCACACATTTCACTACACATTAAGATTGCCATAGACTCCAAGAATTAAAGACCAATTCATGCAGGATAAATAATTGACATGAAAAAGCAATTAATGTAATGATAAAACTCCAATTAAGATTATTATTATTATTATTATTATTAATGCAAGAATTAAAGTGCAAGTGATATAAAAAGTAAAAACCAAATGATGCATGGAATGAGGAAAAAAAATTAACACGACAATATTAATTTAATGCAATGATAAAAAATTGATTAAAATTATCCAAAGGTAATTAATATCAAAAGATAAAAACAAATAATCGTTTATCAACTTTCAGTTGGATGTCATGACAAATAACGGCATAAAGGTAAAATATAAAGATAACAAACATATCCTACCAATTGATTCCATTCACGACAATTTTTTTTAATGTTGTACAAATTTGCATATTTTATATTACCAAATGCATCAAGAAGTCTTGAATCCAATAGGATGTATCTCAATTCCTAAAATTGTAATTTTAACAATTAACGTCTTTCTCCATGACTGAATTACTCATCTATATCTCTGGATCTCTCTCCTTTTGTTATTATTAAAATTTTTAAATAAAAAAACGTGCTAAATCTTCTCTAAATTATCACACGCGATATTTTTTTTAAAAAAAAAGCACGTCAGCATGATACATGTCAAGCATAGGTAACATCACTTCTCACTCACACACAATAAACTTTAAAAATATATATATATATGTCAGCATGACATATGTCATGCGTTTATGACATAAAAGAAAACTGGATAAAATATGTCCAGGTTTCTTCAGCTATTGGTCAAAGCAGAGATATTCCCTCAATAAATTTAGTGCAACTAATCCTTGAACTAAATTGCAAATTTAATTGGATCCTTCTGCTTATTAAATTATATATGTTTCCATCCATTAGTGTTAGGTTCCATTACGTGACACGTACATAACACCAAAATTCCCAGCCTCTGAACTGAATTCAAACCATAAGAGAATAAGACAGTACATGACGCACGAAGTAGGTGGATCCCCCATTGCTACGGCTAGTTTCGATCCCCATTAATTGGATCCTTCTGCTTATTAAATTATATATATTTCAACATTTTATTTCTATTTCAAACCAAAACTAGTAGGTGGATCCCCCATTGCTAGGGCTAGTTTCGATCATGTAAATCGTAAAATATTTATGGTCATTATTAGAAAGTTAAATGTTAAATTAATCATACCTTAAACATTAATGTATATTAAGATATTATTTTTCAAATACTTTCATATAATTAACATCTATTGCATTAAATTTTCCTTTTGTTTATGTTCTGCAAAAATAAGGATGGCAATAGATTGGGTTGGAGCCGAATTTTGCTCCATCCTCCTCAACCCAGAATATACAAATCAATCACTCACCTTTGCCTCCAACCTAACCAGATTGGGTCAGGTGGAAGACTTTGTCCACTTGAAAGTTGCCCGGTATGATTTTTTTTTTTTAAATGAATTTTATAAAAATAAAATATAAGTTTAAGAAACAAAGTACATCCCCATCTATGAATCATAAAACCATAAAATATAATCTAAACTTCAAATCAACGCATAAAACTATAAAAAGCATCCATAAATAACAAGATAAAAATTCATGCATCATATTAAAAAGTAACATTACAACTTCATAAGATAAAAAAAAATAAAAGGTCGTGTTGGGTGAGATAGGTGAGGGATGCAACTCCTATCAAATCAAGTCGAATTTTATCTCGTTTTTGATTTAAATTAATCAAATTAAATAATAACCCGATCCAATCGGATTGGATATCTCTAAGTACTCAATGAATCGAGTGAAATTGTCATCCATATTTAAGAGTGGTAGCTAAAATTTCTTTTCACATGTTATATTGAAACATATAAAAAAACACACATACCTTTGCATTATTAAATATTAAAATATTCTTTACATTTTTGCCATTTAAAGACTTAATTGAAATACTAAGAGGATGTAAATAAAAATATAGTTTAATTCATATATTATAAACAAAATTTTCAATAACTTAATGAATCTGGAGATTGGTTGACTTGATAATTGATACATTTTCATTGCTTTTTTTTTTCCTTGTTTACACTCAACAAAAAAATATATATATACAATATACATCTCAGTCTACAACTTATAACAGAATTTTTAATTTGGTTAAACAAAAATAATTAAAAATTATATTGGAATAAATTTTGACTCAAAGGTGTTGGTTGAAAAAAAAAAGCGATTAATTTTTCTCTTCTAAGACCACATTAATTGAGTTTTTTCCTTAATCAATACATTTTTTAATTTTTATTCTTTAAATAAGGTACTTTTAAACCTAATTTCTAAACAAATGTATATTTTTGCTCTATCAAATTTTTTTTTATATACATCATTTTTTTTAATTGCTGAAAAAATAAGAAAAAAGAAAAACCTACACAGATCCTAATTAAATCCTGACCCGAACACAGGGCCCTCATGGTGTGCATCTAGATCTCCTCTCGACCATGAGATCACTCTATGTTTGATTGCTGCAGGTGGACGAAGCAACAATCAAGTTCGACAAGGATGTTGTGAGCCAAGCACGCTTTTTGATCGAAATTACATCAGAAAAGGCAAAAGTGCTTGCAAATGAATTTCACGCTTTTTGATCATGATGTTCAAAATCACAGCTGAATGGATATGACTGGTGGAGACTCAAAGAAAGTTTACTGCCACTACTAGTGCAATGAGAATGAATGTATGGAGTTGAATTTATACTTACCCACGAAACCCAAGATTCTCCAATATTTGAAAGATAATAAAGCATGTCAAGGGATTGAATATCAAGAAAGAATACCGGTGCTGAAGAGCAATTATAAAACAAAGGAATACTAAATGGAAAAGAAAAGATGAACAAATTAATATAAATGCAGAAGCAACAGGTAATAGAGGAGAAGAACAATATTAGATCAATCCATTCAGATTTTTTTTCATGAAAGAACAGGGCAAGAAAAAAGAAAAGGTACAGAAAGAGATTAAACAATTCCCATGCCAAACCTACTGCAAACACTCACTTCCCCAATCAAAATGATAGATTTCAATTTTTGAGTTTAAAATTGGTTTAATTATTTGTGAAATAATATTTTAGTTTTAATTAGAGTTTTATTAGTATAGTAAGATAATAATAATAATTGCTTAGATGGAGCTTAAATGGCATATAGTATCCTATATTGGGAAATAAGTTTAAAACAACCCTATTTTAATAATATAGATTTAAAACAACCCTATTTAAAAAAAAAAAAAAAAAAAAAAAAAAAAAAAAACTCAACATTAATGCACTCTTTCTATGTAATAAACAAAAACAAAAATACACACTCGTTTACATAATTGGATATTAAAAAATTATGTACACATAGCAATCAATTATTGGTTTAGTTGACCAAAACAAAATAATTTACATCACCATTGCACATGACAACCGAACGTCCACATGGCAACTCTATCTTTAACTTTCTCGAGTCACTTATTTCCTGTTCACA